ACAGGGGGTGGCACTGCCATTGTCACCTGTGGGGTGTCACCCCTGTCACTGTCCCCCGCTGCTCTGTAAGGTGACACCACGGGGTTTTTGGGGTCCCAGAGGGGGAGGTGACACCGCTGTCCCCCCAGGAGTCTTGGGTGTCACCCTGCGGGTGCAGCGGGGGTGTCACTGATGTGGGTGACACTGTCCCTGTCCCTGTCCCTGTCCCCCCAGGTGTGTCAGGTGTCATCCTGTGGGTGCAGCGGGAGTGTTTAGGGGCTGTCAGGGCTCCAGGTGACACTGTGGTTGTCCCCTGTCCCCAGGTGTCTCGGGTGTCACCCTGCGGATGCAGCGAGGGGATTAGTGTGTCCCAGGGCTGTGGGTGACACTGCTGTCCCCCCAGGAGTGTCCGGTGTCACCCTGCGGGTGCAGCAGGGGGGTTTATGGGCTGTTAGGGCTCCAGGTGACACTGTGACTGTCCCCTCAGGAGTCTCGGGTGTCACCCTGCGGGTGCAGAGGGGGTGTCAGGGCTGTGGGTGACACTGTCCCTGTCCCTGTCCCCTGTCCCTGTCCCCAGGTGTGTCGGGTGTCACCCTGCGGGTGCAGTGGGGCTGTCAGGGCTCCAGGTGACACTGCTGTCCCCCCAGGTGTGTCGGGTGTCACCCTGCGGGTGCAGCGGGGGGGTTAGTCTGTCACAGGGCTGTGGGTGACACTGATGTCCCCCCAGGTGTGTCGGGTGTCACCCTGCGGGTGCAGCGGGGGTGTCACTGCTGTGGGTGACACTGTGACACCAGGTCACACAGGTGACACAGGTGTGACACTCAGGTGTGTCCCCTGCAGGTGGCTGGGTCACGAGCAGGAGGTGGGGTTTGGGGTGCGGGTGTGACACAGGTGTGACTCAGGTGTGTCCCAGGTGTGACTCAGGTGTGACACACAGGTGTTCCCCAGGTGTTCCCCAGGTGTGACTCAGGTGTGACACAGGTGTGGCTCAGGTGTGTTCTCTCCCAGGTGGCCGTGTCACGAGCAGCAGGTGGGGGCCCTGGCCCTGTCCCTGGGTTTCTCCCAGGTGTCGCTGTCCTCGGCCGTGGCCGGCATGGCGCGGGCAGGGTTTGGGGTGCAGGTGACACACAGGTGACACACAGGTGACACTCAGGTGTGTTCTCTCCCAGGTGGCCGTGTCACGAGCAGCAGGTGGGCTCCCTGGCCCTGTCCCTGGGCTTCTCCCAGGTGTCGCTGTCCTCGGCCGTGGCCGGCATGGCGCGGGCAGGGTTTGGGGTGCAGGTGTGACACAGGTGTGACACAGGTGTGACTCAGGTGACACTCAGGTGACGCTCAGGTGTGTCCCCCCCCAGGTGGCCGTGTCACGAGCAGCAGGTGGGGGCCCTGGCGCTGTCCCTGGGCTTCTCCCAGGTGTCGCTGTCCTCGGCCGTGGCCGGCATGGCGCGGGCAGGGTTTGGGGTGCAGGTGTGACACAGGTGTGACACAGGTGACACTCAGGTGACACTCAGGTGACACTCAGGTGTGTCCCCCCGCAGGTGGCCGTGTCACGAGCAGCAGGTGGGGGCCCTGGCGCTGTCCCTGGGCTTCTCCCAGGTGTCGCTGTCCTCGGCCGTGGCCGGCATGGCGCGGGCGGTGCCGCGGGGCCTCACGGCCTGCGCCGACGCCTACCTGAGCCCAGGTGTGCAGCGCTACCTGCGGGGCTTCTGTGAGGGATTCCGCGACGGGCTCAAGGTGAGCGGGGCTGGCACGGGACTGACTGACTGACCCGGGACAGACTGACACGGGACTGACTGACCCGGGACAGGGCTGGGATAGAGCAGGGACTGACCCAGGTGTGCAGCGCTACCTGCGGGGCTTCTGTGAGGGATTCCGGGACGGGCTCAAGGTGAGCGGGGCTGGCACGGGACTGACTGACTGACCCGGGACAGACTGACACGGGACTGACTGACCCGGGACAGGGCTGGGATAGAGCAGGGACTGACCCAGGTGTGCAGCGCTACCTGCGGGGCTTCTGTGAGGGATTCCGGGACGGGCTCAAGGTGAGCGGGGCTGAAACCAGACTGACCCGGGACAGACTGACCCGGGACAGACTGACCCAGGACAGACTGACCCAGGACAGACTGACCCAGGACAGACTGACCCAGGACAGACTGACCCAGGACAGACTGACCCAGGACAGACTGACCAGGATAGACCCAGGACAGACACGGGACAGGCCTGGGATAGAGCTGGGACTGACCCGGGACTGGTGCTACCTGCAGGGCTTCTGCCAGGGATTCTGGGACGGGCTCAAGGTGAGCGGGGACAGACTGACCCGGGACAGACTGACACAGGACAGACTGACACAGGACAGACTGACACAGGACAGACTGACACGGGACTGACTGACACAGGACAGACTGACCCGGGACAGAGTGACACAGGACAGACTGACCCGGGACTGACTGACCCGGGACAGACTGACACAGGACAGACTGACACAGGACAGACTGACACGGGACTGACTGACCCGGGACAGACTGACACAGGACAGACTGACACGGGACAGACTGACACGGGACTGACTGACACAGGACAGACTGACACGGGACAGAGTGACACAGGACAGACTGACCCGGGACTGACTGACCCGGGACAGACTGACACAGGACAGACTGACACGGGACAGACTGACCCGGGACAGACACGGGATAGAGCTGGGACTGACCCTGGACTGACCCAGGATAGAGTGGGGTCGCTGACATGGGACAGGGACTGACTGGGGCTGACCCGGGACAGGGCTGGGACAGCCCGGGACTGACCCGGGATGGACCCGGGACTGACCCAGGATAGAGCAGGACAGACTGGGACAGGCAGGGGACACCCCGGGGCACCCTGGGACCCCCAGACCCACGGGACACCCGGGACAGGGCTGGGGACACGGCTGGGACCCCCGGGACCCCCCAGACCCCTCCGTGTGCCCCATCCCCGGGACCCCCCCCGTGGGCCCTGGTCCTTCTGGGGCTGCCCCTCCCCCACGGGTGCCCCTCCCCCATTTCCCACCGGGACCCCCCCCCCCTAACCCCCCCGTACCCCCCATTTCAGCGGGTGCAGTTCATGCGCTCGGACGGGGGGCTCTGACCCCATAGACCTCCCTGACCCCCCAAGGACCCCCCTGACCCCCCCGAACCCCGTTTCAGGGGGTGCAGGTGCAGTTCATGGGGGGCTCTGACCCCATAGACCCCCCCAGGACCCCCCTAACCCCCCCGAACCCCGTTTCAGGGGGTGCAGGTGCAGTTCATGCGCTCGGACGGGGGGCTCTGACCCCATAGACCCCCCAGGACCCCCCTGACCCCCCTGTCCCCCCCGTTTCAGGGGGTGCAGGTGCAGTTCATGGGGGGCTCTGACCCCCTGACCCCCCCGAACCCCGTTTCAGGGGGTGCAGGTGCAGTTCATGGGGGGCTCTGACCCCACAGACCCCCCCAGGACCCCCATAACCCCCCCAAACCCCGTTTCAGGGGGTGCAGGTGCAGTTCATGCGCTCGGACGGGGGGCTCTGACCCCATAGACCCCCCCAGGACCCCCTGACCCCCCCGTACCCCCCATTTCAGGGGGTGCAGGTGCAGTTCATGCGCTCGGACGGGGGGCTCACCCCCATGGCCTCCTTCGGGGGGGCTCGGGCCATCCTGTCGGGCCCGGCCGCGGGGGTCGTGGGCTACGCCCGCACCACCTTCGACCCCCAGGACGGGACCCCCGTCATCGGCTTCGACATGGGCGGTGAGCGCGGGGGCACGGGGGGCAC